AGCAGGCACTGACTGGATGAAATCTGGCTCTTTGCTTTGTATTTAGCCATTGTGCCAAATATAACAGTAAGCTTGAGTTTCAATGTCACCATGATATTTACTCACTTAGCAGATGTTTATTCGTGATTAAAGCCGCTACATGTTGGGTATTTCCTAAAGAAATCAGGGAGCCAAAGGATATGACAGCAGTGTCCATTATGAGGTTAAGATTACCCCCATTTTGCTAACCTCTAGCATATCCGTGCGATCATGCTGATAAATTGATGCTGTACAGTCAGGCTGTACAGTCAGTCCATGCTCTGCACTTTTGTTTACGTTTTTCCACATGGGTAAGTCTTATCTCCTGTCATTTCTTTTACCGTAAACATCTTCAAGCCTTCACGGACTGTTTTTAGGGCCTGTGTGACCTTATGGGAGGTACTCTTTGCAGGCAATGTGAAACCGCTCTCCATCTGGCCTCGTGATTCCCGCAAGGGTAGTGGCTTTCTAAGTGCACACCCAGCTCACTGAGAGATTCAAATATTACCCAGTTATTCACATAGTCTCATTGTCAGGACATGGCAGCGGGATCTGTACAAAGACTCTTGTGGGGGGAAGGCTGTTACTAAGGCAAGTATTTTCCTGCAATTCTGTGAAGTTATAAATGGATTTCCCTGCAGCTCACAGTAAGGCCTCGCAGAAATGCTGAAATAAACAAAACTCTTTGCATAAACTGTATGGAAAATGACCCAGGCTTAAGGCAGATCCCCCCTTCAAAGTGAACTTGGTATTGCCCGTTGCCATTTACAATGTCGACACTAAAGGACATTTGTGAAATTAAACATTAAAATGTCTAGATTCAGCGTGCAGTGATGCCGGCACGTGTAGCAGAAGCTGCTGTCTGTGAGGTACCGTGACTGATTGCTCTGCACCAGTCACACGCTTGCGCGCTCAGTGCCGTGAATCGGCCCCTGGCACACGGATGAGCGTCTAGCTGTCCATTTGGCAGTCACATGACTCCACCGGGTGTCTCTGCCAGGCGTCTCTGCTTGCAGGCCTGTGTTTTTCACACACATCCCTGATGGACAAGTTGGAGAACATCTGCTCCTGGATGTGTCTTCTATTAGTCTTAGAGAGATCGAGCTTGGGTCGCAGAATAACTCAAAGAAAACTTTCTGAAACTTGGAATCTCCCATTTTCCTCTGTGAATAAATATACCATATGTCTATGGCACTTAATTTGAATTAACCTGCTCTGTTTCCCATAATCCCTTGCACACATATTTAAATGAGAGCGGGAGATGGTCCGGGCTGTATTTAGAAAGATTCGGAGGGGCACCTCGTGTGTTTCAAACCGGTGGGCGGCCCATGTGGAAATTTCCAGCCCTCCCCCGGCACCCATCTCTGACAGAGATATCCCCGCTTCCAGCAGCCCCGGTCGCTCCTGGCGGCCCGCCAGCAGCCAATCAGGTCGGCCCGAGTGTCTGGCCCACAGCTGTGACGCGGATGAAGCCGTGTCCTCCGGAGCAGGCCGTCCATCACCGGCTTCTCGTAATGGATGCGGGATGTGACATCACAAGCTGCGAGGGCCATCTGCGCACGACGGGGGCGCCCGCTATTTCTGTCGCCCGCTCCGAGGCGCGCTGTCTGCCCACATGGAGGCAAAACTTTTCCCGGGTCAAAAAAAGAAGCATGAAGGGTATGGTGGGAGCGCGTGAGCACAGCCGGCACGGTGCACAAGCCCCCCCCAAGCTCCCAATTACGCCATTGTCAATCTCCAGTGAGCTCCAAAGCCAGTGTGACGCAGTCACGGTGTTTCCAACATGATGTCCACAGTGAGTAGCCAGAGCAAGAGGATAGGGTCGCCTTCGAGTAAACAACACCGGACTTGAGGCACTTGGAGAAAGATGGGTCTCACTTGCCGGAACGTCTTCCAAGTGGGATCACTTTGCAGGCCTCTTAAAGTCAGAGGAAGAGTGATGTGGCGGAGCGGGAGAGTGAAGCAGATGGGGAGTAAACAGAAGAGAGAGGCCGTGCTGAGTGACGGATGGGGGCCGGCTGCAGGGCCGCGCTCGCAGGCTAAGGTGACGGCGGGGGCGGGGCATCGCTCACCTGCGCCTGGGGGGCGCCCTCTCTGCCTCATTTGGCAATCCACAGCAACTGTCCTGAAAGGTGTGACCTCTTTCTGGGGGGAGGGGGCAACGCTGTGTGCCCCACCTGCCTTACAAAACAAGATCATCCTAAAGGATACAGCTTGTATGCAGCTGAAAATATAAAGCACTCAGCAGCACAATGTCTGTTTATCACTGCTGTGCTGAACGAAGGCAGCATCGGGGCTCAATTGGCAGCACTGTGCCCCGTTTGCATGTTCGCTTTGTGGACATTGAGGTTCCCTCTCATGGTGCCCTTACAGCAGGTGTAGGTGATGTTATCCACAAAGGGTCAGTGTCTATGCAGGTTTTTGGGATAACCTTTAGGTCAGCTGTTCAATGCCAGGTGTGAGGACCCCAATCAGTCATCTGATAAGTAATCTAATTATGGAATTTCAGTGAAAAGCCGCACACAGCGCGGTCCTTGCTGGATAACGCTGCCTTAGAGCGTGCGTGTGCCTGGAGATGGACTGGCATCCCTTCCAGGGTGTTCCCTGCATCTCTTGGGACACGCTCCCTCCTCTACAATAAGCAGTTATGGATAATGGATGGACAGCTGAATATATTGTATGGGCTAGTGACTTCAGACAAATCACTCAGTCCATTGTGTTTCAAGTAGCACTTCATTTTATTCTATATTTTTTGTTACATAGTGGCTCAGTGGGTAACACTGTGACCTCAAACCTCCAGAGCCGTCGCGTGCAAAGTTCTGTCCTTGGTCACAAGGGCCTCCTCCCCCTGTTCAGAGACTGTAAGTTTACTTGGACTGCTGTGTCTAAAGCATGTGAGTGTGAGTGTGAGTGTGTACCCTGCATGGGACGCCCTGTGCCCTATGGCTGCTGGGATTGGCCCCTATGTCTGTCCCCAGGCTCTCTGTGACCCCGCACTGCGTAAATGCTTATGGAAGATGGATGACTGCTGTTGGTCCACCGTGCAAAATGTCTGACCTATAGAAGACTTTCTCACCCCAAATGGAACCGTGACACACAGGTTTATTTTATCAGTTTACTATTTGTTCTCTATAACATGCCGTTACACCAGGTGCTTTTCTAAAAATAATGCTAAAAACTTTATGTAGACGGTAGAAGGTAGCAAATGATCTTTCAGTATGTGTGTGTGTGTGTGTGTGTGTGTGTGTGTACACATACCCCGCACACACCCTCCCCTTCCTCTCAGCCACCCCATAATGCTGCAGGTGGATTTTCTTTTACGGGGTAACAGCTCCGGATAATAGGATCTCAGCCACACGGCCTTAATTTATGTCTCATGACTAATTTTTGACTGTTGGGTGAAATGGGGAAAATAAAAATAAAAAACGGCCGTATCACTGCGACTCGGGTGAGAGATCGTCACGGTAACGTGTGTGAGATAGACAGAGCAGCGCTTCAGAAATGAAACGACAGCCAAGGGTGAAAAATGAAATATCTTTTTTTATTCCATCATTTATGATTGTCCAGTAAAGGACAGGCAGGTAACTATTCGTGAGACAAACAGCCGTGTCTGCAGTCTGGGGCTCCTGGGTCGTTTTTATCCCTCCTTCTGGTTGATCATCATTTTTCACCCCAAATAAATTTTATGTTGTTTTTGTTTGGGATACTTTTCCTTCTTGCAGCACATTTTGTAAGACAGGTGTAGCGCGGTCTGGCCCAGCTCTCCGGATTAGTGTCTGCTTAAATGAGCTTTCCCCCGCGTGCCATGCCAAGAGGTAGCGTGGTTCTGCAAACAGCACGCTGGAAGGCCACATGACATTTTGAGGGGAGTGTCTGATTGACACGCTCTTTAATCTGCCTAAAGATTACGAGGCTTTGGGGGACTCGGCGTGGTAATTATCAGGCCCCTTTCCCATGAGGAAACGCGTCGCTCTGAACGGGATCGATCTCTGGCTCCACGTCTCCGCTGGACACTGAGGTCCTTTGTCTCAGTGCTTTTTGCTCCCCTAAGTTTACTTTACAAAAAGCCATGATGATGTTACTCTTACAAAGCTTTGCCTTTGAATGACGATATATATGTTTTCTATAAACATTTTCCCACTGCCTAGTGTGTGACCATGTTCTCCTAGTGAAGCACCAGTTTACCTGTCCAAGATCTGCAAATGAACTTTTATCTCTAAGTGGCCTATAGTGTGTATGTGTATGTGTGTGTGTGTGGTCCAGATATACCTTATCTTGTGCAGACCAAATGTCCCCACAAGGTGATGAATACCTGATTTTTTTTTTTACCTTATGGGGACTAGGAAACTCAATTTCCTTAAAAAAAAATGCAATCAAAATTTGACTGAAATCAAAAAGCTAAAACTCCTGTATACTCTTTGGTTACTTATGGTAATGGTTAGGGCTGGGTGTGGTTAAGGTCATCATACAGTAGTTAGGTCAGTCTGGGCAGGGAGGGGAGCATGCGCTGATGTAGCTGCGCCCACCACACCTCGGGATCCCGACCGGCGACCCCCCTCCAGTCCCACCCTCCGGAAATGGCTTCCATTTGCCGCAGCCAGGTGTTACGTGGGCGTCCCCTCGGCCTGGTCCAGCCGCTTAGGTCCTCAGCAGCGAGGATCCTGCGAGCCGGATCACCCTCAGGGAAACGCGCCACAAGGCCATAGTGTCATAGTTAGCATTAGCATTTTTCCCATAGAAATGAATAAGCGGTCCCCACAAAGATATGATTACAGGTCTATGGGTGTGTGTGTGTATGTGCGCTCTGAAAGTGTGTGTGAGTGTGTGTGTGTGTGTGTGTGTGTGTGAGTATATGGTTTGGTAGACGAACGGACTTCAGGCATCACGGGTAGCTTGCTGTGCTGCACACTGACGTCATATTTTCAACACTCTACTGACCGGAACTAATCGCCAAAAAGTGGCCTTAACCCCCCCCCCCCCAGACATGAAGTTGGGCAGAAATGTGGCCCGGACATTTCTGGATTTCTACAAGCTTAACCATTTAATCGATGGGACAAAAGCAGTGGGTCACATGAGCAGGTCAGACGCTCCCTAACGTTATTATCGGCGATGCAGGTCAGCGTTCGGTAGAAATGTAATCTTCCAGAATACACTCTTTCATTCCAGTGGCTCAGATGGCCTATCCGGCGGTCGCCAAGGGAACGGCAATGGCAGGAGCCAGGAGGAAGAGAAGCCTGACAGGAAGGTCCATAGTGTGAGAGACACCTAAGCTTCAGTCAGCATGTGTCCTCCCGGGCCAGACTGGCCCCCTTCCTCGCCGTCGGCAGCGAGTCTGGAGCAGTGGCCTGTGTGCTATTCCCTTCCGGTCTGGTATCCTGTGCCATTTCCCTCCTGGTCTGACACATCCACCCGCATCCCTTGCGAGCCTCTCTCACCTCCATGCTGCTGGCCTGCATGACCAGGCTGGCCTGAGAGAAGGGTTTACAAACATCCTTTATGGTCCCAAACACTTTCTACTTCTGTGTTTTTACTCTGTGTTTTACCACAATGTTTTTTTTTACATAGAAGATTTCTGTTAAACTTTTGTTAAACTAGTTAAAGCGTGAGTTCTCTGTTTCCTTGTGGTGGGTAATTTATTAATTTATCAACATGCAATATATAAGTATAATGAGTTTTAGGAAAACTCAGTGGTCCTGAAAACCAACCAATTCCTTTCAGAAGACACTTTCAGTGAACCTGAAATTAAATGTGATGTTTGTGAACATTTCAAAATCACATGTATGTTTCTCACCAAAGTTTATTTTTTTTAGATGTTTTTTGATGAATTGTAGTAGGATGCTGTTTCTTTACCCATAATTCATCATGGGCCAGGACAAATCTGCAGGGTTAAGTCTGATGTGTCCATGTGCTTCTCCGTCCACCGGGACACGGCACAGTCACATCAGACAGGAAGTGATGTCAGAAGGGGCCGGGTGGCCGAGAGGCCCAATAAGGCCATCCAGTGTGTAGAGTATCGTGGATTCTTCATGGTAGTCATGTGACACAAATAAGGGATTTGGAAAGAACCACAAACAAGTCATGAAAGGACGGAGGATGATGATAGAATGTGACTGCGAGTCCCCGTGGATGCTGGTGACAGACATGTGTGAAAGCAGCTAACCCGGCAGGGGCGTGTCACACTTTAATCACTGTTATAAAGTCAGACGCTCCCTTCACGGCGCCTTGTTCTCCGACGAGGTGTCAGGCTGGGAAATGAAGCGCCTGGCAGCTTGCGGAGACATCCCGGAAATCAGTCAGTCTTCCTCCCCTCCGTCCGGCCGAATCGAATGTGCCGCTTTGTGCTTAATGATGCCCAACAAGAGATGGGCTTTTTTTCTGAGCCATTCCGTTAACTCTGATATAAATCATCCCCCCCCCCGGGTCCATGTGCCATCTTTTCAGCCTGCCGTGCTTGGTGTATGCCAGCATGCTAATTACAGGGTAAACACGCTGGTTCCTGGCTCCTCAAAGTGAAAATGTGACTCTGTTATTCACAGTATAATGAGCAGGAGCACTGTTTGCATTTATTAAATACCCAAACTCACCAAGGAAACTGGTTGCGCTAGGAGTCTTCACAAATGGAAGTACACACAAGCAGTATTGGAAAGTTAATTGTGCTTCAGGAGGTAAGTACGCTTTGTGCAGATTAATTCATGATGCAGTTAATGTTATATAGCGATAACATAAGGTAATGGTGTGAACTGAAGGCTTCCTGTCGGAACACTCCCTCAGCAGAGGACAGGAAAAGAGAGATTGATTTTATACAGAATAATATTACAGTAATGTGCCATTAAATGATTCTTTTTTAGGCTGATCTATGCTCCTAGCCAATCTAGTTTTCTCACTGGGTAAATTGTTAAGTTTTGGGGGGGGTGGGAGGAATATCTGAACCATGACATTATGTAGAAGACACTAGTTTGATTCCCATAAATGAACCACCGGTGACCTGCTTCTGAGCAGCTGGCAGGGTCGGCCACACCGAGCGACACCCTGCAAGGAGAATCCTAAAATATGCGGGTTTAATTAACCGTAAACGAGGTCCATACACTTTGTTCTCATAGATTACCTTTTCGGGGCGTTTTCGCCCTGCACCCTTCGTGGTGTCAGCAATATTAAACACTTTTTTTAGGCTGATATTATTGGTAACAGATGGAGCGTGGCCTTAAAGGTCTATTTTGAAAGCTCTGCGTGGGAGGTTCCTAGGAGGACCAGGCCCATCTGCTGAAGTAAGGATGACAGGAGTGATGGCCAGCTTGTTAACCACACCGCACGCGCTCAGGTGCAAACAGGAGAACACGCCTCGCCCGTCAGAACAGAAAACAACCAGTCCAGCCTAATTGTATTCCAAATGAAATATTCCTTGCCGTTTCAACTTTTTTTCTTATCTTTGTACAAAAAATGTATTTTTCCACTGTATTTTTCCCTGAATGGTGTGTTCATTAAAATGAGTTTTTGCTCTGTGCTTTAAAATTGGAGTTACTCAGTCCTTCCTTGTTCCTTGTTCCTTGGTAAATAAACACCTAAAACCTCTCTTTGCCAAGTCTGATTACTTCTGAGGCTGGTATGACCCAGAGACTGAAAAACAAAGATTCTACAGTCTTTACCTGTGAATCACATTATTGTTTTATTATTGCATTCTGAGAAGGATCCAGGTTCATCTTGGCCAGTTCAGTCACACAGCTTGTGCTGTGGTGCCACCACCTGGCTCTGTGCAGTGTGCACACATGAAAATGTGGATGGAGCTTTCACTGGATTTGTTTCTGCAGTTCCATTTAAATCACTGGATATCTAATTGTTTTCCTAATTAATACCCAGATGCTACATGTTGTGACACATTTGGGGTAATCTTATATCTTATGTGTAACTTTTGTACCCAGAAATCCTCCACCGTGTATTATGCACTTTTTAGGAACTGACCTTACATTCAAGATTGTTCTGAGAAAAAATAAATAAATACAGCTTAAACTCATTTGAAGATGTCAATGTCATTAGCGGGATTTTTCTTTTTTTTATTCTTTAACGCTTTAAACTGTCTCCCTGGTATATTCTGATATACATTTAAGGTCCCTTTTGCAAGGTGATATTTAGTGCTTGGCCTGGCAGAAACATCTGGACCACAATCTGCAAAAGGAGACAGCCCTTACGACACATCACTGTTCCCAACCAGCTAAATCACGCAATAGTGTCTGTCCAGTGCTGATAGCATATTGGCTAGTCCAGCCTTACAGTAGTTCATTGTAGATTAGAGTGTAATTACCCATAAGCCTGTGATTTGTTCCCAAACCAAATTGTCTGCCTCCAGCATGCTGTTGCCAACCTCAGCTTTGAGGGCCACCGATTACATGAACTGAGGGAAAACAGCACACATTCTTTTTCTTTTTTCGTTTTGCAGAGAACCTGCCAGTTCCTATTCAAACCTCAAAACTGTCTGGAGAATAAAATTTATTATTGTAATTTTATTATTTTACATATTTTTTCTCTGAAAGTGGCTCTTTAATAATTATGTTAAATTATATTATATTAATTATATTAAATGTAATGTTGTCTTGATACCGGTTTCAGATCAACAAGAATATGTTAGGCCAAAAATACTATAGAGTTTGAAAATCTTTTGGCCAAATGACTTTTACCAACTGTCATGTGTCTGAGTATCAGTTTGCCAGTGGATTAGTATGGGTTTATTCTGTCTGCTGTGTTTTTATAGCTAATGCTGTCCCTCCTTTATATCTGACTGTGGAATCCATAGATTCTCATTCCGGGCTACTTATTATGCATTGTTTCTTATTCCATTGGATCACTCATCCATTCACCCATCTATTTCTAATACCTAGCCTATATGACAGCAGCTTACTCTTTGCCAGATCAAGGGTTACGTTTGTTTTCTTCAATCACATCCAACTTCTTACCCGGAGGTGAGCTTTGTTCTTTGTAATTAAATCTGTATTGTTGTGAATGCAAATATTTAAAAACACATTTTTAATTTTTAAGATGTGCAAGAAATATGCTCAGCAGTGAAATAGCAAACTTTGAATTCTAATCGAAACATGACACTGAATTAGATTGAGAATTGCTTTGTACTACTGGCAATGTGTATGACTAAATTGACACACGAATAAGGATTTATCAGCTCTGCAATGGCACAGTTACGCGGACAAGCCAGATTTGACATAATAAGAGTGTAAATGTCATGGTTTTGACATTAGCTTCACTTCTTCCTTCACTAAGCACATCGACAGAAAGGGTAAGTTAAAGGTGGAGAAATTGTTCCTGTCAATCAGAGCTACATGAATTTGCATTCTAAAATCTTAGCACTATTTACAAGACAACACAGAAAGATGTGGAGATATATTAACGAAAAAAACCTACAATCCAACATGTACATACGTATAATGTATGTCTAGAATTCCATAAATTACTTGTGACATTACTTCTAGCAATAACATCGTGACATATTTGTATACGATGGGATGACCACTTGACCATTTCGCCTTTTTTTAATAGATGTGTAGTGATTTATGCTTTGTAATAAATGTTATCGTGTCTTATGAAGTCATTGTAAGGTATAGATCAATCACCACGTTTACGTACACTTTTACGTGTTTTCTGAGGTTTCATAATCCAAATACCAATGTCTATTCATCCACGAATGTAACACTATGGCATATTTTCATATCACCCATCAGTACCCAGCTTTGCTGTCGGTGATCCTTTAATCTATTTATCTAGTAACCTTGTGCAAAACGCCGCTTGGAGTGTGACTGCACTACATGAAAGGCATCTTGGCAGTAAAGTCGCTGCGGGGATGATGTGAGAAACACCCTCCTGTCTGCGTTAACGGCGCGTGGCACATTTACGTCCTGTTCAGTTGCGGCGTCCGTGGCCGCTATGGCGACCGAAGTTTGAACATGGGTGGGGTGTCTCCGCCGAAGAAGGCACACTCTGTGTGCAAAATGTCGCGCAAAGTGCTCAAATGCACCGTGCATGTGGATATTCAGGTCGTAAGTATGGGTTGTTCCGTGCGTGTCGGTATCCTGAATCCTTATATATGGTGAAACTGGATGGAAAGGAAATAATTCTCTAACTGGATAGTTAACCGTGCTGCAAAGATGAATAATCAGACGATCCGCCTCTACTTAAAGTGGCACCATATAAGCTTTTGAACAACGAAACCCCGCATTAACCCAGGAAGTCTGCAGTCTCTAATGATGTCGCTCTGATCAGAACTGAAACTGAAAATCTTTAAAGCACTGCTTGATCGCTGAAGTTGGTGCAGTTATTCGCATGCGTCGCACACGGAAGCTGCAAAGCAAATTATAACGGAACACACTATAAATATACAAATATATAAATATATTGCCCTCGTTTAATACGAAACTATGCAATGAATTTGGACGATATTTACAACAACAGGGAAATCTTAAAGATACGTCCTTTCCATAATTAATATCGTATTTTAACTGAAACATTTTTATTATATTTTTGTTAATAACAGGTTACCTGCCCTGGGGTGGTGCTTCCCAACCATCAGGACATATACCTGAGTGTTTGTATAATAGGCCAATACCAGAAGACTCTTTGTTTGGCTCCTGTGTTTCCTCTGTTATTCCGTGAAAAAATGGTTTTTGAAAAGGTAGGATGAGCCAAGGATTCGGGGCTTTTTGAAAAATTAAGTTTTGAGGTCGTTTCTTCTTCAAACGGTTTCTTGCTTAGACATCCATTTTATTAGCATGCCTGTGACTCTCTTAATTTTGCTTTGCAGCATTGTGCCATACTAACGTGATATACATGAATCAGATTTAATAGGGTTAATTGTGATGAACTGTGTGACTTTTATGATATGTTTATTTTACATTGCACTGTTATTTTAATATTTTGTTAAAATATTTTAACATTACTTTCCCAGTTCCATAGTTAAAGAGCCAGCTGACTTGCTTGTTTTCTGGTTTGTAAATGTTCCCAAAAAGACATTTTCAGAGGCTGTTGACCCATGTGATATAGCTGATATTCTGGAACGTAAGTAGCTCCTATTTGATTTCAGTCCTTATCATGATCATTAAGGTGTGTCTTTACTACAGTAATGGCCAATTTCTCTGTTTGTATTTTGCAGTGGACTCAACCTGCTTTGAGCTGATTCAGCTTGTTCCCCCAGGTCAGCTCCCTCATTCGTCACCTAACTCCTGGCATTTTCCACAGATTTGCCCTTTGTGATCCATACTCACATGTTTGTGATGGTGACCTTGCCTGTGTTAATTTCCTTCTGCAGAGGGCGAAATCTTGGCCACCCTTGAGATGAACACCAGGGCTTTCTTATATCCTGCCCCCACCCGATCTCCTGGGGGCTCTGGTCCAGGGAGAGAGATGCTTATGAAGAAATCAGCCTCCTTCCCTGTAGGTTCATGACTAACAGTATCACAGATTAACCTAGTTATCACTTTTCTTATTTACAGGGGGGTTTTGTAAAATATATCCACCCTGATTCCCTGTGAACTTTTAAAATTGCTTTTCCTTAGGGAATATCGCCTAGAGTGGAATTTACAACGAGCACCATTATGGAGGAATGTGATTTAAAAGCCAGGCGGTCTTCATACCCTGTAAGTGTTCAGCGTGTCTGCTCCCGATCGCACCTTTTGTCATCTTAAGCAAGTTAAATGACCTGTTTTCATTTAAGCGAGTTGAAGTTTATTGCATCTAATATGGGGGCACACACACACACACAGACACACACAAAGGAACTGATGGTAAAATTTGAAATTGTGACTATCGACCATCAAGTTAGAGCTTAAATAAGCTGAGAACAAAGTTACAGTGACCGTTCCATAAGACACATGGACTGTCCTCTGCTTCACGGCTTGATTTCTGAAGTCACATCTGTGCAATAATTTTTAGTGTCTGGTCCGTTTTCATTATTTTTTTTTATTCAGTATCTTGACGGCAAAGATGTAATTTTTATATATGTGACTTTGGAGATACCTGGATAACAGAAGTGGCCATATTCACTCTATAGTTTTCTTATCTAACTTTTTCTAGTATTGAAAGATTCTATGTTCTTGTTATTTCCAGGTTCATCCCCCCCTTTCTTACATAATTACTTTTATAATTGTATTTTTCTTCAGCTAGGCTACCTCAATACACAGTGTGAAGTATGCTTTATTTCCAAAGAAGGAAGTTTACAAAAAAAAATTCAGCCCTGTTCATTGGACACCATTTCTGTTTACTTTCTCCTTTAACAAAAGCTGACAGAAAACAAAGCAAAACAAAGAAAGATGTTTTCTGTGCACCTAAATCTAAAAACAGCAGCGCATCTCGCACAGCCAGAAGACATGGTGTTACTATTTAAAATCATCTTGACCTTAAAAGAAAAACTATCAACTATTATCAAGTCGCCACTGCTCTATCCGACCCACAGCCTGGCTCTGGCTATAGGGGCCATATATTTAAAGGGGGATTATCGACAAAATGCCAGCTGTGCATAAAGGCCGGCTTCCCTGTAATGACTCGCGAGGAGATCCGCATTCTCAGAGTGATGGAGGTGAGCACCGCTGTCATGCTAGCGGCTGCCTGATCGATGCCCGAGAACATCATTAAACAGGCCGTGTGGAGAAAGGTGTGGAGGCCCCGTTACTTTCTATTAGGCCTTTGCATTAGCTAAATGGGCAGTTTTCTCCTCACCCCCCTGCTTTTCAGTCTCCCAGACAGCCCTCTCTGACTTGGCCATTGTTACCGCTGTTCAGTCCAGATCTCTGCCTGTCCTCCTTGCAAGCACACAAGTCCTGGCTTGACACGGCCCTTTATAAATAGGTTCTGTCCCAGTGATTTGCATGCATTTGAACGGGAATCGTTTGTTGTTTAATAAGCTACTCGGGGCCCCGGCTTTGTTGTTTCAAGGACACCCTGCTTTATCTACTATTACCAAGACCAGCCGACCCACTAATCACATCAGACAAGCCCAACTTGCAGCAGCAAATGGCTCCTTTGTGCTCCAACCTAAAGAGAACCAGGACAAAGAGGAATAAAAGCAAAAATGCTTAATTTCATTAAATCTCTCTTCTCAAAGCAATCTAAATCAGGATTTATTTATTCTGTTTTTAAAATGAGCTAATATGGCAGGATGTTCAAATTAGCATTTAAATTATCTTTATTTTTACAGCCATGTAATGGCATTATCACATTAGTCTGGACCCGGCCATCAAATGCAATTAACATTTTTTAAAAACTTATTTATCCGAACATCGCCTGCAGGAGAACAGTTATTGCAATACAGAATTATGTTAGCTGCTGTTAGAATTATTGAAGCCATTTGCCAACAAAGGTGATGTTGCCTTTGTTTAGGGGTACTTTTCCTGTCTACAATGAGCTTGTTTCAAGATTCTCAGAACTAAAAGAATTTCTACTTTATTTACAGCCAGTGTAAATCCTCAGTACTTCCCCAGAATACCACACTTGAGGACTGTTCCCACCGTTCACTGTGATAATGGAATCTTCCTGTGCTCACTGCGCTCATTCGGTGTCTGCTTGTTTTTGAATAGTTTTTTAGAGAGAGAGGATTTTCTTTCAGTTTAAGTTTTTATGTATTAAATGGCATGTATGCCTCTTCAGCCTTTTCAGCTGCGTTCAGAGAAACCCAGATCTATCCAAAGACCCAGGGGGGTCACTGACCTTGCGGCAAAGGGGACCCCTACGGCCCGTCCTATCTGCAGCTACGAAAGGCCCACAGTGGCCTCCCAGCTACGGGTTCTGTCCCCATACACCCACCGGCGCATGTGCCAGCTTTCTGAGGATGCCAGGCAGCGGCTCAGCCACCTCCAACTGGGACCCTTCAGGTTCAAGAAGGAGTCTGAAAACCAGGCCCCTTTTGTGGTAGGAGCCTCTGGCCATTTCGCTTGAATCATATTGTTCCAAGTGTGGTTCCTAGAGCACCTGCAGACCTGGCAGGCTCACCTGTTCCTGGTCTGTCTCTTTGCAGCCATTTGGCAGTTTTTCTGTCTAAACTTGACCTCTCCATTGACTGCCTACAAGGTTCTTCCTCGACGTGTTTTTATGTTTACGTCTTGGTAAACATGTCGGTGATGTGCAGTGTCATGCCCTTGGCAGTTTCTTTGCATCCTTAAGCAACGGTTTTGATGGGGATTAATGTCAGGGCCTTAGATATTAAAACGGATGTATGGATTTGGTGGGGATGTCAGTATGGCTTTTCTTGCAATGTAGCCTTTAAAACAGCATTGTGCAGAATACATCCTGGAGCTACAATTAACCTTGGTAATTAAGAGTCAAACCATGATTAACAAATAGCTTCCTATTGAAGGGGCTTAGCCCACTGGATGCATTATTAATGTGTGTTTAAAGTCTGCACGCTTGTTTATGTGGAAGCGAATTGCTCTTCATTAATGAGAGCGATAATCATGCAATATAATTGAAGTGCCAAGAATTTAATTGAAGTTGATGTAACTCCAGCCTCCGCACACCTGGGCAAAGCTGACGTTTCACCGGCTTTGTCAAACTTCCTCCCTTTCAGCGTTTTGTGGTCTTTACTGGAAGCGATTAAACTTGAAATGAAAGACAAATATATGGCGCTAAATGAGGCCTGTGGTTTGTTTGCTGCCGTTAAGCTCCGCCGGCTCACCGGTGTCCTCCTGCCGGCCCGCAGGTTCCCCGCGTGCCCAACTCCTCCTTCCACGAGTCTTCATCTTGTCCACAGCCGTCTTACGAGGTGCCCCGTCACAGCTGGTCCGCAGCTTCTGCAGTCAATCACCTCGAAGGTGTGCATGTACGTCTTATTCTTCACGTGTCCTCTGAGGAACCGCTGTTTCGTCCGGTTGTGTCTTCCTGGTTCCTTTGGCTCAGTTGTCATCCAAGCCCATCTCGTCGTATGTTTATTGGTTTCTGTTTTTATTATTCCTTGGCAGATTCCTCGCTCCTTGGCAGCTACCGACCGAAGTTTGCGAGAGTAAGTGACATTTTGACAGAAACGTGTTATCAAAAGGTTGCGCTTCAATGGAACCTGAAAGGAGAGACACCTTAATACCCAACTATGCATATTACTTTTCCTGAAATGTATTTCTCAGAAGGAATGTGCCACATGAATGAAGCTCCCCAGCTCCTGAGGGCATGGAGAATAATTTTCACCCACTGTTGCCCAGCTCCGTAAAGCGGAAGCATCTTCTGGGGGGGGGGGGGCTCGCCTTCAGGGTCCTCATCTATGAATGGGGGGGTGTGAATGCGCTGTCCAGTTCCCCGCCTGAGCTGCATGGTCTCTAACTCCCCACAGGAGAGTAGGAGCTCTCCAAAGGCAGGCAGGTCCCCCGGGGAGGTGCCAGGAAAGAGGTGTCTCTGCCCACCTGCGGGGGCTTCCCTGGCAGCCCACTCCACCCCTGTGCCTGGCGTGACGGTTACCCAGAGTCCCCTGCTGAGCCGTAGCTCCCTACGTGAAAGGTAACATCCCGTCTTGTGCCCCATCCCTCGTGAATCCGCTGCACCCATGGTGTAGAAGTGTCCATGGTCATCATGATAACGATGATGTTCTGCTCCCTTAAATCCAAATTCCTTTTAAAAGTTTATCAAGCACGACTGTCACCTTATTTGGTCGTGAGTAAGTTATGAGGGGGTTGTAACAGTACAGACCTTTGATCAGTTACATTAAGTAATTGGGTTGATTAGCTGAATGCTAATGCTAAAAGGTACACTCACGATATAAAACCATCCAATTCTGTCTGGAATATTGCCTGCAGGTTGTCTGATGTCTGTGTTTTGTATAATAGTTTGTCACAACACAGGCTGAAAGCTGCCTCTTAGGGGACAGCGTGTACCTGTTGGTAAACAATGAAATTCATAAATATTCCCAGAGGTAGATTAAGAAAACATATAAAGGCAAAAAATAAACCCGAACAGAGAGATTGCTCTACGCATGGAAATAAAGGGAACCCGAATGGGACGGCCGGAGTGCTGGTGCTCAGGTCTGGGTCACTGGGACGAGGCAAACACAACACGCCCAAGTTATACACACACTGGGACCAAGGGGCACGTAGACTAAATTAACCCCAGCCATGTCCAATGGTCACCTGACATTCCCTCCCCAGCCAGATGGTGACCTCTCCGCCCCCTTCTCTTATGTACGATTCATTATAGTCATTTTATAGAAGATGAAAATACCGTTGCGTATTACCCAATGCCCAAAGTAATTCACTCAAAGGAAAACAAAAATATCTGCTATATAAATCATCAGTGTAGACCTTCAGCATTGACTCTCATTAGTACAAAGTCTAAGTGCAGTTTATTTTTGCAGCGCTATGTGGCATATGTAGGCCTGCTACCCTGGGGATTCCACAGGGACTGGCTTCCTGTAGGCTTCCCTCGCTCTCTGCCGTCGGCTTGCCAGGGCCCTCCTAGGGCTGCCTGGGTGCTCCGTAGGGCTTCGCGTGGTGGGGAGGGACACGCTCTGGCTTATTGTTAATGTGTCGATCAGCTGGACCACGGCACGGGGGCATCCTGCCGGACGGGGCACAGGCTAGAGCAGAATCACCAGCAAATGGCTATCGCCTCAGTCTACGTTCATCGTGGGCTTCAGTATAATCTGAGTCTGAGAGATAGTCACTATTTTAGGTTCTGCTTCTGGTTCTGGGCTCTCTGTGGTATTTCTGAAACCTGTTGAAGGTTTAGAGGGTAGGTTTTTTATCTTGAATTTATTTTCTATGTATTTAACATTAGCCCCCAGACACGGAAAGTATTTAAATTTGCCAGTATATTGAAAGGGTGGAGAAAAACTCTACATATGAATTTCCATTTAGGCTGTATTGACTGAATTTGAACCTTATCATCACAGCCAAAGGAGGTGCCCTGTCTGTCTAATCTTTATTCTCATCTTTGAAAGCAGGAAAATTCTTCTCCCCCTCAAATGACAAGATCTGATGTTGTGTCATGTTTGCTTATTGCTTAAGAGAAGGGGGACCTGTGGAAAACAAAGGGAGACGCTATTGATCGCGTCTTTTGCGAGACTGAGCACGCTTGACCCCGGCACTTTAATACACACGTGACCCTGCCATCGATCCCAGCAGGTGCCCGTGAACGCCACCGCGTGTTTGTTTGGTCGCGTTTCAGTTCATAGCAGGAATCAAAATCAATAGACAATTTTGAAATGAAAAGTAAATTGTGAGCGATCCGCTTTGCTCGATTGAGAATATGGTGGGTTCCTCGGTGCCAGAGATTAAAGGCGCCTCTGCAGAGTCCGGTGACCGGTAGAGAGGCACGTTTTTGGGGCCGCTCAATGCGAAGACAAACGGCAGGTGCTTAGCTGGCCGTCTGCCCCAATCCCTGCCTCCCGATTGCGCAGTTCCTCCTTCTCAGTCGTTTGCAGCAGCATGGCATGCTGCCCTGTGTAAAATTAAAGGCAAAACCCTCAACCATTTGCAGGAATGAACTCTTCTGTTTACCTTTGTTATGAAGGCGATTCCTATCAATGGTTGTCAGTCCTTTGGCATGTTGTTTAAATCAGGCTGCATGTCTGCCAGGACATATCCGCTTGACAGACACCTCCAAGTGGCTCTGTCATCACCCAAGAAAGCTTCACGCATTTCGAAGATCTTGAAGTTCCAGAGAAACTATTGAGAAGCAAACTATTTTCATTTACTCGTGTCTGTTTGAATAATTTCTTCATTAGCCACTTCATAACTAATAATACATGTTGAAGACCATTTTTATTCATACCTTTTTAATCCTAAGGGATGTTGACTGCTGACAAGCTGATACACAGCATGTGCGTTTGCCGACTTTATGCTTTACAGACTAATTTTTAGAGTTAGAGCACAGACTAGTGGCTGAAAGGTAGAACCTCCAGTTGTGGCTGGAGCTGCTATTGGATAAAAGCTGAGCCTCTCTTTCTCCACGCAGCATGTTCTGAGAGCATCACCAAATGTGGTTTGAGTGTGAGGTTCGCGCGGCACCACCGTGCTTCCCGACTCTCGCAGTGCTCTCTTTGACCCCATCTGGCCACTGAAGCTAACTGGGCTGGTCCCTCAGGTTCCGGAGCGGCCCGGCCAGCCCGGCCTGCTGGGATGAGATCCACAGACGCGTGCAGAGGCTTCTGAGGAACCATGCCGTCCCCAGCAAGCTGGGCTTTGTGAGTACTGCTCGATCTGCGGACTGTGGGGGGTGTGATGGGAATATGGGGGAACACAGATACCATGGAGACCAGGGGAGGGAATGAGAAGGGGGGGAACGTGAAAAAGAGTGGGGGGGCACGGGCTCTGCCTGAAAGCCCTGTGAGGCTTTAGGCCCCAGACAGACATCCTGAGGAATGCAGTCGTCCCAGTAAGCAGCAGCGCCACCTCTGCTGGGCTGCATTAATGCAGCTGATAGCTGTGTCTCACTAATTACTGCAAAACCCGAAATCCAGCGCTGGCAGCGAGCGGCAGGCAGCTCGCTGCCATTAAGGGCTCATTTTCTCAGCACTAAGAGGAGGAATCGGCACGTGACGCCTCGAATGCAGGGCGTAAGCCCAGCTTAAAGGGGGACTGAATGCAATCCAGGCACACAATTAAAAGGCAGAACGACAAAGGGGATTATTTATGAAGCATTTCCATCATTCCTCTTTAGGAGCCTGGCTACCATTTTCGAGGATATTTAAAATGGTCTCATGTAAGATTTGTGTAATTTTACCGGTTTAATAACATTAAACTCTTGACTCAAAGGTTGTACACTGGGCCTTGTGTAATACAGTTTATTTTGTTATAAAAACATTAGGACAGAATTGCTGGTACTGTATGAAGTGTCTGCTTATTATCAGTTACTCTAATATACTCCAAGCATTCCCCGGGTTAACAACGCCCAACTTATTGGTCGGCTTGAGGTGCAGTACAGTACCCTATGGAGTTACTGCTATTATTGTATTATTATTGTTCCAACAAATTCAACTTAAAGACTATGCAGACTACCGATTCTTTGCAAAGTTATCAGTGTTGGGCCCCTGTCTCCCCCAGGATGAGGATGGTACAGAAGAGGATTCATCCCACCGCGACCCTCTGCGGTCATGTGATTTAGCTCACTGCACGCCTCAGCGGTCATGTGATACAGCCCATGGTGGCCCTCAGCGACCATGTGACACAGCCCAATGTGACAGCCACATCATTCAGGACAGGTAAATACCTCGCCTCTTAGCACTGATACCGTACTTCTGCAGATATGCCGAATGAGTTCTTGTTCTGCTTATCTAAATGGTCACTGTTTTCTTTGCCCTGACAAGAACTTTCAGTGCTGCGATTAGATTTAAATGCCATTTTGTGTTGTTTATACTTTATACTGTGCTTGTGCTCTTATTTCCATTAGGGAGATGTGGCTACAACTTGCTAATGGTCATTTTCATTTACAGAATGTTTCATTGCCTCCCTGCATTCCATTTTTTTCCCATATTCACTGCCTGCAAGTAGTAAAACTTTAAGAGCAGTTAAATTCCCCTTTCAGTGATAAAAACATGCCGCCTTTACCATCTTTTTAATATTCTATATAATCATTTAAATATACAGAAATACGAATACATATAACCTGTTTTTTTATATCTGATGCTTACACCGATGATCATTTTCCAAAATTCAAGTTGCTAAAACCTGAAATACAAAGTAATGCATCTTTAACACATTTTGCAGCATTTAGGAAGAAGTTGGAGACAATGTTTCTGTTTTGTAAACCAGAATTTGAGCTGCACAATTACTAAAGACATGCAGAAGAAAAAGAATTTTATCAAACATACCTTTTAAAAATATTTATGATTGCAGCTTTAAATGCAAAATGAAAACAGACAATGTAGGATCATAAGTTTTAAAAATTGTCATTAGAAAGCTCCATAACACTCTTAGGGCTAATGCTAAGGGTTCAATAAATCACCTCTTTATGTACTATGATACCCTACTCAACTGTTAAGTGCTGCATGGGTGGTGTTTATTCACTTATATTTGCCTGTTTGTTCCAGCAAAGACATTCCCGGTGGTGCATCTGTCTACTTGAACAACGACATCTGGTCCAATCGGGTGGCTCGGTTCACAGGGACATCCCACAGGGCGGCGTTTGAGAACAGTCTGAGTCAGATATACAAGGACCTCTACAGTGACGCTTCTGGTAGCGGTTAGGGGCAGAAGTGGCGGCCCAGCTGACTCAAACGAACACCCGAAGGACCATATGACCATCTCAGGATCTATAGAAAAAGCTCTGGAATGTTCTAAATGTTAACACAATGAACTTGCTATGTATTTTCATTTAATTTATACATTTTTGTATAGTACAGTCAAGGTTTTAAAATTGCATTAATGCCTTAAATAAATGCACATCCTGCCTGTAGCCTGGCTTTGATTTTCATTCTGTTCTCGTTTTGCTATTGTTCTGCTTTTTTGCATTTTCTGGCATCTTTTGCTGCTGAAAATGTGGGTGTGTGTGTGTGTGTGTGTATGCAAGCAATCACCAATGAAAGACCAGCGTCCTGCAGGCCAGGGCTGTTTATTGTGCTGCTGGGGGTAAGAAGACAGAAGCACTGCTCCAACTCAGAACATTCAGTCAATGACATTTCACAGCGGCGCCACCTCATGGAAGAGGGATTTAAAGGTCCCAGGATATAGTTTGTTTAAAAGAGATTCTTTCACATAACTGGTTAAAATGGAGTCTGCCTTTGAAACAGTGTCCACCTTTATCCCATTCAAACAATGTCATAGAGTAGCACTATCTTCAGAAATCTTCTACTATTCCCCTTACAGGAAATGTACACAGTGTACAAAATAGAGTCCAGTTTGTTCTGGTTCGGTTTACAAATTATTGCGTGCTTTGTCCAGCAGGGGGCAGAGTAGGATACATAAAAAAGGAATAGGTTAATCTGGCTTCATCTAGGTCTGCATGCACTGTTCAGACTGAAAATGTCTGAACGCACACGTCAGTCATCAGCATTTATTACTCCAGAAGCCATTCAGTGAGACAGCTCAGCTGTTTCCAGATGCAATACAGTCACACTTAAAGCGGTTTGCCCGCCTTTTTTTTATTTGACTTATTTAAGTTCCTGTGCTTCTTCTTTCCAGATGCCATTGCTGCTTTTTCGGCCATGATCTCCTGGTATTTCTTCTTGTTGCGACTGGTGAAAGCAAACAAAAAACCAAAACACTGAGCATCAAACCGCAGGGCAGCAGAACCCCACAGGAAACGGAACTGGTTCTACCTGAACTGGTTTATAAATTACAAACAAATCATCTGTTTTTGAACCAGTAATGGCCGAAGGAGATGAAGATTTCAAACTGTGCATCACAGAAGTGCAGAACCCTTCACTTCATGAGGCACAGCTGACATGTCCCCCCCCCGCCCCCCCACCGAGCTCGTCACACGGCCGCACAGTACCTCCTAAACTCCGCGTCGGACAGCAGCTCCTCCACGATGGTCCTCTTCCGCTGCTTCTTGGGAATGCGGGCGTGATAGAAGTCCACAGGACTGTCGACAACCGTGCCGACCTGATCGGGGGAGGGACACTTAAAACACCTCGGTCCACATCATCAGAAAATACACCAGTGCATGTAAGGGGAGTGTACGTTCTGGTACTGGTACCAAAAAAGTGCTACTTAGGTGCTTCTGGCTAGCACCACTTGGGCCCTGAGAGAATTCCCTGTTTACTGAGTAGGTGTGAGTGCTGATAGTAAAGCACACTGCTGTGCTGCCAGCATTTACCAGCCCCATGATTTAGAGGCCACATAAAATCAGATTTCCATATTCATTTTATATTTGCATAATATTGGCTTATATACATCATATAAAAACAAGCCAATATTTTGCTAATTTCATTCTTCGTTTTCGCAACAGTATTGCTACATTTTTCCATTTTGATTTTTTTATCCCCTGATGTGAGTTTAATGCAGCTCTTAAACTCCCACTCAAATGGTGTTTTTTAATTGGTTAATGAACTGGCTGTTAAGGGAGTAACGTTCACAGACCTGCAAGTATTTTGGGAAACCTTCCCGATCGTTCTTCTTGTAAAACCTCTTGGGGTCCATCGCCGACCGCATCTTCAGCGCTCTCAGGTCGTTCTTTAACTCCTCTGTTAACTCGGGGGCCTTCATGTTAAACCAGCCATCTCCAGTTGTCTTCTCTCTCTCCTCCTGGCCACAGAATCAGGAGAAAGTCAACAGAGCAGCAAAGCAAAAACCAGGTGCAGACACCCCCCCCCCCAGAGCATTAACCCACATCCATCTGCAGAACAGAATATGAGGCACTTTATCACCCCCATGGGGGGGGAACTTGATTTATTTCCACATATCCCATCTTACTCTCCATTAAAGACACAGACATTCATGTATATACAGGTGAAAGCAAGATTTTGGGGTCAGAGCAAAGAGTCAATCTGTACCCAATATCTAGGGATAAGTGTCTTTCTCAAGGGCACAGTGGTGATTTGATTACTCTGTCGGCTACAGGATTTGAACTCATGACCTTCCAGATTGGGATATGGATCCCCAACTGGCTACACACCACCCCTAAGGAAAACAGGCCAAGCCCGGGCATCATTTATACCAATACTGCTACGGCTCTGACTGAAAGACACAGTGGTCAGCCTGACTGCACAGCTCCATCAGCTGGCTCTGAGCCGACATTCACTCACCCTGCGCTTCACTTTCAGTTTCTTCTGCGACTCCTTGTAGGGCGGTATAGCATCCTTCTTTTCAAAATCAGGGCCAATCACACTCTTCTTCAAAAGCTGCCAGAGAAAAATCAACAAATAGCATCTATCACATAGCCCTCCAAATGCAAAGGGGCATGAACTGAATTCTTAGTCTGTAAAAAAATAAACTTACTTCATCTTGATTCTTCTGTTCTTTCAGTTTTTTCAAAGTATCGGACACACCTTTTGATTTTTTGCCGTCGAAATTTATGTATAATCCACCAAATTCCTTTATTTTGAGTCCTGGGTCAATGCTGCTGGAGAGCTCAAACCTAATAAAGAAAGAATTTAAGAGGTAACGAATGACTTCCGGTTCAAATCAACACGTCTCATTGTGTGATCCAGACAGTATCTCATTTACTCTGAAAACCACTAAAAACAAATAAATACTTACGAAGCTTTGTTTTTGCTTTTAAAAAGCAATTCAGAATCTTCATCATCCTCCTCTTCATCAACAAATTCTTCTTCGTTCTGGTCTTCCTCCATATCATTATCTTCTTCTCCCACCTCATTTTCCTTCATTTCCTGTTCCTCATCCAAATAGTACTTATCATCAAATCGAAGACCAGGCTGCGTGTCAATGACGAACAGTCCATCGCATGGCATGGGCGCCTCGCATTTTGAGGGACCCGCCTGGTTCTGATTTGAAGAAGAATTTTGGTTTTCCCCATCATTGTCCATATTGTCACCATCTGACTCGCTTTCCTGCACTGAACGCCCATCCTCACTATCGCCCTCATCTTCACTGCTATCCAGCAGAAGCAAACAGGGTTTCTTTGCTTCCTTGTGGTGGTCAGCCTCTTCTGTGTCATTATCTGAAGGCTCCTCAAGCAAAGTCTTTTCCTCTTCCGATTCCTTCTCTGCCTTCTGATCAGACTCAGATAAGATCAATTTAAGACTCTGATTTGATAAATTCGGTATGACTGAAGAGGCATCATCAACCATGTCATAACCCTCTTTCGTGCCCACATCACCCCCAATGCTATCCGCCTTTTCCTCTTGGTTTGCCTTTACAAGTGAAGACTCACTCAAAGTCACCTTGTCACTATTGGCCGGTGCTACTTCTGGTAAAACCTGGGGTTCAACAGTCTTCTCAGAGCTCAAACCATCCACATCCTCAGCAGTGAGCGTCTTCTCCTGCTCACTTGTCTTTATCAGCGAGTTCTCTAAATTCATACCGACACCTTCAACTGCGTCTTCATTCTCAACCACCGATTTGGTCACATCCATGGCTTCTGGTGCCTCCACTAGAGACCCACAAGCCTCACGTGTGACCTGCGGCACCGAAACAGCCCGGTTGCTGTTGGCTGACCCTGTGCGGCTACTGCAGGGGGTGCCCCTCGTTCTTGTGGATCTCCGGCTTGCAAGAGAACTGCACGCATCAGTCGATTCAGATCCCGAATCAGATAAAGCCAAAATACGGCCCTGCGACCTGGCTAACACACATTTTCGACTGGATTTCCTGGGAGTTCTACTTGGCCCAGACTCAAACCCTTCCGAGTCGAAGGCTGTGGTCTCACCGGTAGAAGCCGGCTTAGCTACGGTAACTCGAGTTAAACACACAGTGGGAGTAACATCTAAGTCGGCATCATTCCCGAGACTCATGTGAACTGGCGTAATCGCTCTGAACTTCCTGTTCCTCATCGTACGACGGACAACGGTGCTCTGAAGGCCAGAGACGTTGGAGGAGCAGGAGTCTGGCTCAGACTCGTGCTCCTCCGTGTGCTGTTTGGCAGACGGGCACATAGCGCTCTTCCTCTGGCTCCTAGTGACTCTTTGAGTCCTTGGTTCCCGGGTGGCTGATACCGACGAAGACACAGAGTCCGCCTCAGACACCGCATCTCCGTCTCTCTGCGAGCGGCCGGTCTGCCGGGGCGAGGTGCGCCTCCTTCGGCTCCGGGTTACCCGGCCTTCAGGAGGGTTCTGTCGATCCGACATCTCTGAACAGCAGGACTCTGACTCGGACACATCGGCCTCGTGGGTGGAGTCCAGCTGGGGGGCACTGAGGTCCTGGCATTGTGCCGTTTTTGTGTTCCTCCTCACGGCAGAGCTGTGTAACAGAGAGGTGGGAGGCACCCCCCCATCATTCTGAGAAACGCTCAATACTTCGGACTGTGAGCTGGTGCCCCCTTGCGCAGCTCTACTCCTCGTCCTTACATTTCCCGAAGGGGTGGCCTCCTGTAAGACAGTGAGGAGCACTGGTCAACATCCAACTTAACCAGAGTTTCCATGCAAAAACACACAAAATTTCCCCACAGTACTTTTTGTGACTGTATGACACATGTGAAGGTAGCAGAAAGTTATTTCGGTTAAGCAATACTACCTACAGGCCCCTGGAGTTCGCATCTTAATTATGGTCTGTTACCTTAATCAATATGCGATCGAGGGCACTTAACTGAGGCAGACAAAAGAACATAAATTAAGAATAAAATCAGGAGGAAAAGGGCTCTGTTCCAAAAATGGAAAATAACTAATGATTTCAAAATTAAGCAGGAGTATCTAAGTCTACAGGTTGAGTTAAAAAATAACATTACACTCGCCAAGAGGAATGTAGAAAGGAAGATTGCACTGGTGGCTAAGGATGACATTAAAGGTTTCTTCCAAATTTTTAACTCCTAAAGAGCTCTAAAAGCTGAAATCACTAATTTGCAGGATAGTAAGGGCCATATAATTGAAAATGAAACTGATATAGTAAATGAGTTTAATAATTATTTTACACGGGTGTTCACAGTAGAGAACACGAGTAACTTACCACCATTTAGTACGAATACAGCGTCGTCTATGACCAATATATCTATAACTGAGGCTGATGTGGTACAAAGCCTAGCTAAGGTCAAAATAACTAAATCGCAGGGTCTTGATGGCATCTTACCTATAGTTTTAAAATAGATGAGGGATATCATTAGGCAACCTTTAACTATTTCAGAAATCCTTATCTGCTGGTGTGGCACCTTCTGATTGGAAGCATGCTAATATAACACCCATATTCAAAAAATAGAAGTCATCCAGCAAACTATAGGCCAATCAGTTTAACTTGCATAACTGGAAAAGTAATGGAAGCTATAATCTATAATATAGTCTTTAAAAAGCAAATGCAACACACAGCTATCACACACAGACAGCACAGTGCTGGCAATTTTTATTTTCTACTTATAGTTAGCTATGGGTAGGACTGCACAATATACACTGCTCAAAAAAATTAAAGGAACGCTTATTAATCAGAGTATAGCATCAAGTAAAGTAAACTTCTTGGATATTCATCTCGTCAGTTAAGTAGCAGAGGGGGTTGTTAATCAGTTTCAGCTGCTTTGGTGTTACTGAAATTAATAACAGGTGCACTAGAGGGGCAACAATGAGACGACCCCCAAAACAGGAATGGTTTAACAGTTGGGGGCCACTGACATTTTTCCATCCTAATCTCTTCTGACTGTTTTTTCACTAGTTTTGCATTCGGCTACAGTCAGTATCACTACTGGTAGCATGAAGCGATACCTGGACCTTACAGAGGTTGCACAGGCAGTCCGACTCCTCCTGGATGGCGCATATTGATGTGTCATTGCCAGAAGTTTTGCTGTGTCTCCCAGCACAGTCTCGAGAGCATGGAGGAGATTCCATGAGACAGGCAGTTACTCTAGGAGAGATGGACAGGGCCATAGAAGGTCCTTAACTAATCAGCAGGATTGCTATCTGCTCCTTTGTGCAAGGGGGAATAGGATGAGCACTGCCAGAGCCCTACAAAATGACCTCCAGCAGGCCACTGGTGTGCATGTCTCTGACCAAACAATCAGAAACAGACTTCATGAGGGTGGCCTAAGGGCCCGACATCCTCTAGTGGGCCCTGTGCTCACTGCCCGGCACCGTGGAGCTCGACTGGCATTTGCCATTGAATACCAGAATTGGCAGGTCCATCACTGGCGCCCTGTGCTTTCCACAGATGAGAGCAGGTTCACCCTGAGCACATGTGATAGACGTGAAAGGGTCTGGAGAAGCTGCGGAGAACATTATGCTGCCTGTAACATTGTTCAGCATGACCGGTTTGGTGGGGGGTCAGTGATGGTCTGGGGAGGCATATCCATGGAGGGACACACAGACCTCTACAGGCTAGACAACGGCACCTTGACTGCCATTAGATATCAGGATGAAATCCTTGGACCCACTGTCAGACCCTACGCTGGTGCAGTGGGTCCTGGGTTCCTCCTGGTGCACGACAATGCCCAGCCTCATGTGGCGAGAGTATGCAGGCAGTTCCTGGAGGATGAAGGAATTGATACTATTGACTGGCCCCCACACTCGCCTGACCTAAATCCAATAGAACACCTCTGGGACATTATGCTTCGGTCCATCCGACGCCACCAGGTTGCACCTCAGACTGTCCAGGAGCTCAGTGATGCCCTGGTCCAGATCTGGGAGGAGATCCCCCAGCACACCATCCATCATCTCATTAGGAGGATGCCCTGACATTGTTAGGCATGCATACAAGCACGTGGGGGCCATACAAACTACTGAGTACGATTTTGAGTTGCTGCAATGACTTTTCAGCAAAATGGACTAGCCTGCTGCATCATTTTTTCACTTAGATTTTCGGGGTGTCTTTGAATTCAGCCCTCTGTAGGTTTGTAATTTTCATTTCCATCAAACGATGTGGCATCCTTTCACTCTTAACACATCACCCAGTTCATATCAGTATAGATATCCAGCAGGATTTAATCCCCATTGAAATCTGATGCATTTTCAAAGTGTTCCTTAAATTTTTTTGAGCAGTGTATATACAGTGGTACCTCAGTTCTCGAATTCATTAGAACTCAAATTTCTTAAAAAAATGACTTAGAACTCGATCTGAATCTCAGAAGTCAAACCATGAACGCCGACCTAAGATAACTTGAGTCACGCGGCACGTCTGTCAGCGGAAACAAAGGGTAACGCTTCAGTCTCAGCCTGGCATTTGCTGTGACAGCATCGTGCATATTTACACTATAGCTGAATACTTATTTTTAGACAGTAAAAATACATTTAGACAATGATAGATAGTAACAGTAATTATTATATAATAAAATATTAAAAAATAAATTATTTTAAGATTAATAATAAACCATTAATACATTTAATTATAATAATATTGTCGTGCCGAGCGGGGACGGAATGAAGTCAAAGGCGCAGACGTCAGGGTATCGGGGAATACGGGGTTTAATTACATGTAAGGCAGGCAAAACGCAGACGGACAATACAATAACCGGACTGGGGAAACAAACTGAAACGCGGACTAAATACAGAGGACTAATGACAACAACCAGAAACAGCTGATCACACGGGGATTCCACACGGGGTTAACGAGGGGGAGTGGCACACGGAAGGAGCGGACGATTGGGGCAGGACATGTTTTTTTTTTTTTTTTTTTAAACTTTACACATTGTTTGGATACATTTATTTTCTTACTTTACTTGTTTTGATAAATGTGCTTAGATGTGTTTAGTACTATATGCTCTTCTTGTTTTATCCAGTTCATTTTGTATTTAAAAAAAAACATATTTAGTAGGGGTGTAACGATATTACAAACCGAACCGAAATATCGCGATACACCAACCACGATACGTATCGCGAAACTCTCGTGGCGTACCGCGGTACTCTCACGCCCCCTGCTGCCCATTGTTGAGGTTGACGTCACTTGTCTCTAACTAATTTAACCAATTTAAACACATCTTTATTTTATCACATTTGATTAAATTGTATTAGTAATGATGAGCTTTTGTTCTAAATTTTGTTCTAAATATTATATTCTAAAGTTAGTATTAGAATTGTTTTTTTCTGACTAGTCTATATTGGAGGTATTTATTTAATTTTTGTTGTTTACTCAGGTATCCTGACTGTACTAAAAATGTGATGGCAAAGTTAATAAAGAAAAAGTTTAGTTGTTCTTGTTATTAATTGAATCTATTGTTCCTTAGCATTGCTGTTAAGATGACATCAACCCTAACCCACAGCAAACAGAAACCGAACCGAACCGAACCGAGGCTCCAAAACCGTGAACCGAACCGAATCGTGCCTTTGGTGTATCGTTACACCCCTAATATTTAGGTGTAATTTGGGGGGCCGGGAACCAATTAATTGGTTTTCCATTATTTCTTATGGGGAAAATTTGATCAGAACTCTAACTTTTTAGGATTTGACCCGGAGTTCTGAACAGATAAAGTTCGAGTTCTGAGGTACCACTGTAGTTTCAGCATTGCCATTACAATGTGCGAATGCACAATAATTACATTGTATCTGCCACCACTGTTTTGTGTCTGTTGACAACTTGTGGCAAAACCACCAACTTATTTAACAGATTCAGTTGATAGATAAAACCAAGTTCTATTTGGCTATAGTTTATTTAATCTCTTCATCATGTTTTAGAAATATCGCATTTTTACTTCGGAAAATTTCACATACAGTGATGGGATACTATGCAGCCCCAGTTATGGGTGTGTTTGTTATGGGAATGATCAACTGCCCATCTTTTAAATACCTATCCTGGTAAGGGTCACTGGGGGCTTGGAGCCTGTGCCAGGCAGCACAGGGCACGCCCTAGATGGGATACCAGTCCATCACAGGGCACGCCCTAGATGGGATACCAGTCCATCACAGGGCAC